CAACAAATTATTGAATTCTAGGTACTTAACCAAACATTTTCAAACCAAAAGGAGTATATATGTTAACAAAACTTGCATTTGACTTACCAATTAACAATGGACACTTTCATAACGCGGATGCAGGTAGGCAGCGTCTCGAATATATTGCTCTAGCCATATAATGCCGAAACCACAAGCCTACTGCAGCTCTATCTCTATCGGTGGGAGGTAAAAACTCTGTGCTTCCCGTCGTCAAACGCGCCAAGCAAAGGCATACGAGAGGACCACAATCCCCTCTGGCTCCCGGCGATTGCTGTGGCACGGTCTCGTCTCTGACAACTGTGACATTGAACTTCTTTGGCTTCTTGTGTCCAGAATGACTCCAATACTTAATCCCATCCAAGAATTTAGCCAAATGAGAGCTCCATCCCTTGAAAATATCTCTCAAATCAGACAGTGATATGTAATTGATCATGCTGTCATACACTATTATCTTCAGGGATGGGAGCTGAAGTTGGACGAGAAGCCAGTGACGATGTTCCAAAACAGGGATAAACACCTGCGATCATAAGTAATAATTCATTTATTTGCGCACTTATTTATTAACACCTTTAAAAAATTTAAAAAATTAACACTAACCTTATCGACCTCCCACCATGCAGGATAAAGTTTAGCTTGTCCATTGCCCAACAAAAATGATTCATCTCGTTGATTCTTCAAGTGAACTGCGTGAAAAGCCGTCGGCATTATTGTATATAGCGATTTTTTTTTATTTTTCCTAAGCTTCCTTATTATTAGTAGACGTGACACCCACGCATCGATATGCTGTTTTACAAAAAAATACATATATCAGTGAATTACATTAATTTTTAAACAAATTAATCAAAATCATATATAAGATAAATATAATCTTACCTCCCCATCCAAATAGCCACTGTCTTCAACCCCTAATAGCACACCCCACCAAGACCGATCAAGCAACAAAAACATTTCATCGTTGAGTTTGCTGATGTCAGTGTAACACCCTTGGCTCCGCTCATGTAGATAAAAATCAACTGCGGTCTTAGCCCAAAGGGTATTATCCACAATTGTTTCCGGTAGTTGTCTCCTCTCCACTTCAGATACCGGAAGGGTACTAGCCGGTAACTCATACGAGAGCCAACTCTCATCCATCATGTCCGGAACCGGTGGGGGTTTCTCAATACTTCGATATATTACCCCATGTGAATCGAGCTCTGGAATGGTGGGAGGGACCTCTTCAACGATGACAGTGGCCTCTTGAACGGTGGGGGGAATCTTGAGGGAGAATAGGGGCCTCTTGAACGATTGGAGGGGACTCTTGAGGGATGACCGGTGAGTCGGGCTTCTTCTTGCGGAGTCTTCGCACCATTGGGGTGAACGGAGACGTAATAGCACGTCCACGCCGTCTGATGCGTGAACTCCGTCGTGCAAGGAAAACCCGACGTAAAGCATCCACCTTATCGGGTCGCTAAAAAAAATTAATACATAAATCAGTAAATAAACAGACATGATATTAAACAAAGACACATATGTTTCAAACTAGCATTGTATTCACCCAAATCATTATTCTATCATAGTTCACAAAATGCTCAGATAACATTCCAGAAGTAAGCACTTATATAAATATTTAAAAGGACAACATATATAAACATTCCAGAAGAAGAATAGTTTACTTTCGCAACACGAAACTTAAAATCGCAACGCGGAAATGGCTATCGCAATGCGAAATGAAAATCGCAACGACAAAATCGCAACGCGAAATGAAATCGCAACGACAAAATCGCAACGCGAAACACAAATCGCATTGCGATTTTCATTTCGCGTTGCGCTTTTGTCGTTGCGATTTCATTTCGCATTGCGATTTTGTCGTTGCGATTTTCATTTCGCATTGCGATAGCCATTTCCGCATTGCGATAGTCATTTTCGTGTTGCGAAAGTAAACTATTCTTCTTCTGCAAATTGAAACTTGAATGGATTGCATTACTTCAACCAAAAGACAAAAACAAAACCAAAAACAAATACTAACAAAAACAGATTGGCAGCAACCGAATGAATTACGAGTATGAAAAATCTTAAACTTACCTCGTTGCGTAGAGTATGAACCTCATTCTGCAACGATGCTACCATCTCACGTAGAGCGGCTACCTCACCGCGTAATGTAGACACCTCAACACGCCATGCACCATCGTCTTTGCGTAAAGTACCGACCTCCTTACGCAAGGCATTGACCTCATCACGTAACTCCCCTAACTCATCCCGTTGAGGTGGAGGTGGAGAACAGGGAGATAAACGTCGTGGCATCTTTGCCGGTCGCCTATCTTGCGGTGATGGTGGAGAAGAGGCTCGATGATGTGACATAATAGGTGATGGCTGTCGTTGTGGAGGTGTATAGCCGGGTCGATCAGATGATGGCTCTGGGTGAGGTGATAGCTCTGGGCGAGGTGATGGCTCCCGAAGTGGAGGCTTCTCATCAACCGTTCCATCAAAAAAACGCTTACTAGCTTGCCACCAATCAGTGGCAAGCTCAGCTTCCGTGGGTGTCAGCCTCTGTAGAGGAGTGTTGGCCTCCTAACAATATAAAAGCTCAAACAAAGTTAAATGTGTACTAGTAATAACTTGTTTATAAACATATGGTAGTATTTATGTTAACTTACATTATTTATTGTCGTATACCGTAGTAAATCTTCCCATTGCAAGGTTCGTTTCCTCTTCCAGGAAATAGCCCTGGGAATATTATTTGAAGTTTTTATTGCATATGTCTTCATGGCGGGAAAGGCCTCAAATATCCAAATCTACAAACAATATAATAACAAACATTAGTAATTGTTAAATAATTACTTATAATTTTGGAAACATTATATAAAAATTCTTACCTTAAAGGCCCAAATAAAGCCTGTCAAAGTGTATTTGGAACCATCGCCATGCAAACTTTTTCGATCATCCAAGGCAGACGATAACTTATTCCATGTAGCTTTCCATAAATACGAGCCCCACGGAAACAGGTTCCACGTATTTAGGTCTTCTACCAATTTGATTAGATCATTTGGAATAGGTTGTCTGGCCTCTCTGCCTAAAAAGCCGGCATGCAAAAGAATTAGAAGGCATACTCGGACAACGTCGACGTCATCCATCCGAGTAAAACCATCTTTATTATTCAAAAATCTTGTCAGGTCTTCTACGTGTAGACTCGGCCTCTCCAGCTCAGGAAAAAACCCGGGATAGCCATGATGGGCGGGTAATGTGTCTAGTGTACCGACCTACATCATCGTGTCCGAAGCGTAGACCGGTGATTAAGCAAAACTCCTCCCGCCCAAAACACGTATACGCCGGTGGAAAATCAAACCATATCTCTTCATCACGACGTTGTATAGTCTCTGGTAGATCTCTAGTCATGGTTTGAAGAAACAGGTGTGTCAACATCGCATCTCCACCGGGATGTTGTACTTTCAGCCATGGCCCAAAGCATGTATCCTCAAACATTTTTCTTTGTGCAGGTGAAAGCTTCGACGCAATTGTTTTGGCCAGGCTGACTTTATTTCTCAAGGTCAATTGAGCCGAATAAAAGTTCTACAAAAACAATAAACATACTAAATTAGATATACCAAAAACTACACTGTGAAGATATACCAAAAACAATAATAAACATAAATAGTAGTAGTTTATTCTTCAAACTTAAATATGCAACACTGTGAATTTCGTATTTGTCTTTGTTTTTTGGTTGAAGTAATGCAATTCATTCAAGTTTCAATTTGCAGAAGAAGAATAGTTTCTGAAAATGAAAATCGCAACACGAAAATGACTATCGCAACGAGAGAATCGCAACGCGAAACTAAAATCGCGTTGCGATTTGCATTTCGCGTTGCGATTCTTGGTTGATTTAATAAGCAATCTAAGTGAAATGGTTAATCTATTATTGAAATTACCAGTAAACTTATCATCAATTTCAATATGAAAAACCTAATAATAATGCAAAAATTTCAAAAAGAAAATAATTAAAAAAACTAACCCTCGTTGGTTGATTTGGTTGATTTTCCATTTCTGATTGTGAGGGTGGCTCTGAGAGATTTAGATAGACGGATTTCGCCGGAGATGGGGACGGATTTCGTCGGAGATGGGTGAGAGAGTGAGAGATGGAGATGGGACTGAGTTGTGATTTTAGGTTTTAGGTTATGAGTTGCGATTACGGGATATACTGTGGACAGTTAAGTGTTCCAATATATTTATATTCATGTTTGGAATTTAAAAATAAAATACTTGGCCAGGATACTAATGGCGCTTTGAAAATCGCATTGCGATTATGTATTATCGCGTTGCGAAAGTCAGTATCGCGTTGCGAAAGTAAGTATCTCGTTGCGATTTTTTATTATCGCATTGCGATAGTCAGTATCGCATTGCGATTTTCCCAATTCGCGTTGCGATTTACTTATTCGCATTGCTATTTTCCCAATTCGCGTTGCGATTTACTTATTCGCATTGCGAATTGGGAAAATCGCAACGATACTGTAGACCATCGCAACGCGATTTTCAACTATCACATTGCGAAAATGCAACGCGAATTTGCGATAATGGAGATCGCGTTGCGAATTAGCGATCGCATTGCGATTTTGTTGGTCATTTTGGCAAATCTGGAAAAAGTTGGTTAAAATCGTATATTATATGAGATTTTTGGTCACTGAGGTTATTTTCTCTATATATAATATACCTTTAATTTTATCAAGTCCAACGTTATATTAGGTTTTAAATATTATTGATTTTATCAAATCTGACGTCGTCGTCGATTGAATTTTTATTGTATTAGACATACTAAATTAAAGTGCATATATATAAATGTTGATCATTTTAAGTTCAAACTAAATTTCTTAATTTTTATGGTGAAATTTCAAATGAACTAAGACTACAGGGACTGAGGGAGACATTAGGCCATAAAGTTGAGATACTGGAATCTCTAATATTTATCCTGTTCTTTTACTAGATATCAGCAATTGAGAAGATTATTTTGGCAGATTCAAGCTGAACTGCTGCTTGCTGGTTGATTTGGTGTTGAAAAGATCCACACTTTAGTCTCATGGCATCATCGTCAGTGTCCCTTTCCTTCTCTTCTTCTCTGGTCTCCTCTGCTCTTCCACGTCCAGAAACCATCTCCAAGGCCAAACCCCATCTCCCAAACTCCATCATTGTTTCATCAGCACTCGCCGGCGGTGCTGTTTCAGATAAGAAGAAGCAAAAATTCTGGAAAGAAGGAGAATACCCAGGCTTATCACGCCATTCTATTCCCGGGTCTTCGAGGAACCCACCCCTCAAGAACCTGAAGAAGAAACTCGACCGCAAGAACAACGCCAAGGCCTGGGTCTCCACCGTCACCGAGACCTTGTCCGAATGCATCCTCAAGAAGCAGTGGCTTCAAGCTCTCGAGGTATCTCTCTCTCTCTCTCTACTTCTCGTCTTTCTCCTTCGATTTCTCGTTATCTTTTAGCGTTTTAAGGTAGCCGGTTTTGTCGTTCAGGTGTTTGAGATGCTTAGAGAACAACCCTTTTATCAACCGAAAGAAGGCACCTATATGAAACTTCTTGTCCTTTTAGGGAAATCCGGGCAACCCTACCGTGCACGCCAGTTGTTTGATGAAATGATTGAAGAAGGATGTGAACCGACTCCCGAGCTTTACACTGCGTTGCTCGCGGCTTATTGTCGGAACGATCTTGTTGACGAGGCATTCTCAACGCTTGATCGAATGAAAACGCTTCCTACTTGCCAGCCTGATGTGTTCACTTACAGTACCTTGATTAAGGCGTGTGTCGATGCCTCCCGATTCGACTTGGTCGAGTCTCTGTATGGGGAAATGGATGAGCGGTTGATTATGCCAAATACGGTTACTCAGAACATAGTGTTAAGTGGATATGGTAAGGCTGGGAAATTTGATCAGATGGAGAAAGTGTTATCTGGCATGTTGGAGAGCTCGGCATGCAAGCCTGATGTATGGACAATGAACATTATCCTCAGTGTGTTTGGTAACAAGGGGCAGATTGATATGATGGAGAGATGGTACGAGAAATTCCGGAATTTCGGAATTGAGCCGGAAACACGCTCTTTCAATATCTTGATCGGTGCTTACGGGAAGAAAAGAATGTACGATAAAATGTCATCCGTGATGGAATACATGCGTAAGCTTCAATTTCCATGGACAACCTCTACTTACAACAATGTCATCGAGGCATTTGCGGATGCTGGGGATGCGAAACACATGGAGTACACATTCGACCAAATGCGTGGTGAAGGGATGAAAGCAGACACCAAGACCTTTTGCTGCCTAATCAATGGATATGCCAATGCTGGTCTCTTTCATAAAGTTATTAGCACTGTTCGGTTGGCTGCCAAGTTTGAGATACCCGAAAATACCTCATTCTACAATGCCGTAATATCTGCGTGCGCGAAGGCAGAAGATTTGATGGAAATGGAGAGAGTTTTTAATCGAATGAAAGATAAGCAATGCCAACCGAACGAGTTAACCTTCTCCATTTTAATGGATGCATATAGAAAGGAAGATATGAACGACAAGATCTTTGATTTGGAGCTACTAAAACAGGAGTTGCTTAATAATGGTTGCCTACAACCTCAGTAGAACACTTTGATGGAACCAATAGCGGTGCTGCTGTATTTTGTCCATGACCGAGTCAGAGAAGCGTAACTGATCCTTTTATGCGATCGCAATCTTTATGAATTCAGTCACTGATCGATCAGCCGCTGCATTTGCTTTCCAGAATGGATGGTTTGATTACTGCCTCCCCTATTTGTTTTCTGCGACTGAAATCATTTGGGTTCATTGATGTTTAGATGGAAGCTTGCAGGTATCTTTATTTTTTGTACAAAGTTATCATAAATAGTGGTAACTATGGACTTTAGGAGATGGTTTAAGTTGCTTAAAATATGTCAGCTTGAATTTGTGGAATCTCAGAGATGTAATTTTCTTACTTTCATTTACTACCATGTGCTGTGGGTGTCTTTTCTGATCATGATCCAAGAATGTACAATGCCATAACTATGGAGTGTTGAAGCCATCTATGTTTCACGGGTACGCCAACCCGATGCTGTTTCAAGTACCTAATATGTCTATGAGATGGGTACGGACGGGGACATCCCATTTTGAAGGGGTACAATTAGAATTATTTGGATATGTCGGAGGGATTTTCAAAGATGTATCAGAGACGATATTTGATCTTCACGTGCGTACCTATAGTTATTTTTTATATTTAACTTAAAAAATGATTTTGAATAAGAAATTGAAGTTGGTTTCGAAACTTAGAATATTAGCTGATTTACGACAAATTTCAGGATAAGATATATGCATTTATGGGTTGAGATATCTTTTTAGGTATGAATCGTCTTTTAGTTACCTTTTTAGTGTATCTTAAAATGCCTCAATCCGATGTCGAGAATTCAAGATATGCTCATTTTAGTAAAAATTGTGCACGCAGAAAATAAAATATATGTTTAATATGTGATTTTATAATAATTACAAATTTTAAAAGTTATTTATATTTATTGTATGCTTGTTGTATCTGTATCAGATAATTTTGGAAATTATCGTTTCACCTTCCTGTATCTGCCCTCGTATTTGTGTCCGTATCAGTGCAAAATAGAAAGCCATAGTGATTTTTGCAAGTGACAGCGGCTGCCGACGATTACAAAGTCGGACTGGATTGATGGGTAGGTTTAACTGATTCAACCTCATGTTGGGTTTTCTCAACAACGATGCCAAAGCAATGAAACCAAACCAACCTAATAAATAAATGTAATGTAATCAGGGATTTGTTTTCTTGCCGAAGACTTCATTCCTCCTCTTCCAACCGCACACTTATGTCCTTGTTCCTCCACCCTTACGATGTCTGTCCTAACAAACAAATACAAGACAAAGTACCCTCTCAATGCATGCCACCTTGTTCTGTGCTTCCACCCTTACTCGTTTGTTTCTACTTTTTTAAAGTTTTATTAACCATATGTCATTCATGGCTATTGCATATTTGATTTCCCACGTAATTTGAGACAATACTCAATTATAATGGTAGAGTTACGAGTAGTTAATGATATATTATAGCATGTATGAAGATTAGACTATAAGAAAGTTGAACTGGAAATGATAATGCAGATATTTACAGTTTTCTCACATGCAAGTCTAACATACTCCTATCTCATCATAGAATTTTTTCATGTGCTTTTTCGACAAAAATTAGGAGGTGAAACCGAGATATGTCAGACTGAAATAGAATAAGGTAGCGGATGTCTAGCAGTTGAAAAGTATGGGGACTTAATTGTGTTTGATTTTCTCTAACTTTAGCGAGGATGTCGCTACAATTAGATTTACAAGACAATTTCCTCTTTTGTATTAACCACAAAAAAATCATGTCATTATCTGATTCGAGGTATAAAATTATAAAAAAAATCGATACACAATGTAAACTTTAACTCTACAATCTTACCTATATTTGAATGCTATGGGTAGAATCCATTAAGAGATTTCAGTGGTAATAGAGAATATTGTTCTCCTTAGAGATTTCGAATTTGAGCAGGTGTGTCTATAGGACGTGTGTGAGTTAATTGTCAATTAACTAAGAAAATTCTAGACAAATATTTCCTTATCATTTCAAATTCATAAAAAAATATTGAGTATTGTATAGGTTTTAACTTTTAGAATTTAGAAATTATAATTTAGTATTTTACGGTTTAGGGTTAAAATATATAAGACTGTGAAACTAAATAATATCTCTAGAAATATTCATCATCATTGCATCAAATATTAATTCTTACCGTTTTAGTTAAATATACTACACATTATTTCAAGGATAAAATATAAATTAAATCTTCAAAAGGTATATTATTATTATTATTTGGAATAGTGATTGATTACAAGGTAATATTTGTTTAAAATTTTTATTAACCATTGATAATGTATATACGCTTTGCAGACGAAATTACTCAAACCCGTGACTTTTAGGAATGACAACACTCCACTCATCCACCGATGTTACTTCCCCTTCCCCCTACCGTACAATGTCCGAAAGCAATAAACAAAATACCCTTGCAATTTATGGCACCTTGTCTTGTGCTCTTGTTTGACTCCACTATCGGATCCATTTTCAAGACCATGATTCCTTGATGCATAAGGCTCATCGCTACACTTTTGGATGTTCCTGTCTTTGAATGTAACGTATCGTTACCTTCCACCTTTCATACTACATATGCACCTCTCCGCGTCTCTTACCGCTACGTTTGTTTTCAACCCTTTGCTTCATCGTCCCATACCGGCTGGTTCAGACGAGATGCAATCCGTGAGAATCGAGTTATCCGATGTTGGAACGAGCAACGTAAGTGAAGTGTCCAGTTTACGTTCTCTGACTTCTTATGGTTATGATGATGATGAAGGTGATGAATATGAGTCCCAATGGGCTGCGATTGAGAGGCTACCAACGTCTGAACGGATCACCACGGCTCTTTTTGATGACAAAGTGTCGGACGGAAAAGCAGACGCTATGGGGAATATCAGAAGAAAAAGACTTGTTAATGTCACCGAACTCCGACCTGTTGAGCGGCATTTTCTAGTGGAGAAGCTTGTGAAACACGTTCCGGATGATAACCTGCGTTTGTTGGAAAAACTTAGACACAGAATTGAAAGGTGACTCTTAATTAATTGCCTAGTACATTGATGAGTACTCGAATCAGATTCATAGTTTGTTTTACTTTGCAGGGTTGGGGTGCAGCTTCCTTCTGTGGAAGTGAGATATAAAAATCTGAGTGTTCAAGCTGAATGCCAGTTGGTTCATGGCAAACCCCTTCCCACGCTCTGGAATGCCATGAAAGCCGCCTTTTCCGTAAGTACCGCCGCTCGTTAATTGCATAGATTCCTGGAGCAGATCACCATTTTATAGCATTTCTACAGTATTTGTTTTCAGTTTAATCTGTTAATGCTTTCTAGTTTCTATTGTTATGACAGGGTATAGCCAATCTATTAGGCTCGAAACAAGAGGCCGAGATAAGCATCCTAAAAGACGTCAGCGGCATCGTGAAACCCGGAAGGTAGACCTATGAAATATTCATTTAATAACGAGCTACGAAGAGAGGGAGGAAACCTTGCACATCAAGCAACACAAGAGAATAAATCCTCCTGTTTTATATATTGGGACTAGGTTGACTGAAGTTCTGTTTCGATTCCCTTCCATCTAGGATGACTTTATTGCTCGGCCCTCCTGGAAGCGGCAAAAGTACATTCTTGCTTGCGCTTGCCGGGAAATTAAGCCAAACTCTCAAGGTGACATCCATGACCGAGACTACTGCACTGCATGCCACAACTTGCTGCAGCTTGATTTCTTAATTGCTAAGCTATCACAGGCTTCTTATAATTTTATTCTGCAAAGGTTTCGGGGGAAATAACTTACAACGGCTATCGACTGGACGAGTTCAATCCTCAAAAAACCTCGGCTTACATTAGCCAATATGATCTGCATACTCCAGAGATGACGGTGAGGGAGACGCTTGATTTTTCTGCTCGCTTTCAGGGTATAGGTAGCAGAGCCGGTAAGTGCCCAATATAAATGGCGATTCTAACACACGTTACATGTTTTTATTTTGTATTTTCTAATTTTTCTTTTTTATGATTATTAAGAAATCATGAAGGAAATCAGCCAAAGAGAGAAGCATGCGGGGATAGTTCCGAATCCCGACATAGATGCCTACATGAAGGTTTCTGTTTAGCATTCTATTTTATCTTCAATACTCTAATTAACGGAAGTGCTCGTCCATTCTTTAGCATAATATTTTGTGGACTAAACTGTTATCGTTTCTTACAGGCGATATCAGTTGAAGGTATGGAAAGTACCCTTCAAACAGATTATATTCTGAAGGTAATCACTAGTTTTTATTTAAAGGGAAGAATACCATCTCGAAACATGGATTCACGCCGCTTTTTCTTCAGATTCTTGGACTTGACAACTGTGATAACACAAGAGTTGGTGATGCCATTAGAAGAGGTGTCTCAGGTGGTGAAAAAAGGAGATTGACAACAGGTAGTGTATGTTTGACAGTAGACTTGCTAAATTTGTGCCATTTAGACTCGGATAGGGACAGATAGAACTGGATTTTTCTTTTAATTGCAGGAGAGATGATTGTTGGTCCAACAAAGGCTTTGTTCATGGACGAAATATCGAATGGCCTTGATAGTTCTACCAGTTTCCAGGTTGTTTCCTGTCTTCAACATTTGGTTCATCATACCGACGCTACCGCATTGATTTCACTTCTTCAACCTGCACCAGAGATCTTCGAGCTCTTCGATGATGTTATTCTGATGGCAGAAGGGAAAGTTGTGTATCACGGCCCTCGCACTTATATTTGCAAATTCTTCGAGGATTGCGGGTTTAGGTGCCTAGAAAGGAAAGGAATTGCCGACTTCATTCAGGAGGTATGCCTACTGCAACGCTCGTAGTTGTCGACGTCATTGTCTCGATATCCTCATTGGTATCTTAAGTAGTTATTCATTTTATCTGCTGCAGGTAATCTCTAGGAAAGACCAAGCACAGTATTGGTACCGTAAGGAACTACCTTACAGCTATGTTTCTGTTAATCAATTCATCCAAAAGTTTAAAGAATGTGAAATCGGCCTGAATCTAGATAAGGAACTCTCGGAGCCATTTGAAAAGACTCAAAGTGGCCGAGATTCGCTTTCCTTTAAAAGGTATTCGCTAAGTAAATGGGAACTGTTTAAAGCTTGCTCGACGAGGGAATTCCTGCTAATGAAGAGGAATGCTTTTCTGTATGTGTTCAAGTCCGTACAGGTAACTGACAACAGGTTTCATCACATCTGATCAACTTTCATGTATATCCTTCATAGCTGAAATCGTTATCGTTGGATTGTTTTCCTCTGCAGCTTCTCATGATTGGTTCAATGACTTTGTCGGTTTTCCTACGCACTCAAATGGCTGTTGACATCATCCATGTGAATTATTATGCGGGTGCTCTCTTTTTCACTATCATTATACTATTTGTTGATGCATTTCCGGAACTGAGCATGACCGTATCAAGACTCGATGTGTTCTACAAACAGAGAGAGCTTTGCTTCTATCCTGCATGGGCTTACGCAATTCCTGCAGCAATCCTAAAAGTTCCGCTTTCGTTAATGGAATCCTTTTTATTGACTGCTCTCACCTATTATAGCATCGGTTACAGCCCTGAGGTCGGAAGGTGAGATCTGCACATATGGAAACTTTGTTATACACACACATATATGTTTGTCTCATCTGAAGTATATCATGTATGCTTCTCTTAGGTTCTTTTTGCAGTTCCTTGTATGCTTCGGTCTGCACCTAACAGGAATGTCCATGTTCCGTGTAATTGCTTCATTGTCCCAAACGATAGTTGCTTCGACAACCGCTGGTACTCTTGTACTATTGACGATTACATCCTTTGGTGGCTTCATTGTCGCAGAACGTACTCTCCACCAATTCATATGTTGAAATTCATTTGCTTAGATAAGCCAATTGTTTTTCTTTACAATCTTTTTCACCTTATATGGCTGCAGCATCTATGCCTTCCTGGTTAAAATGGGGATTTTGGCTAAATCCTATGTCATATGGGGAGATAGGCTTGACATTGAACGAACTTCTTGCTCCTCGGTGGGAAAAGGTAAAACCGACTGCTCAATAAGTTGCAGTGGTTGTTGCTTGCTTCCTCTTCAACATTTTTCTTTTCAATTTCTTTCGAGAAGACACTTCTAGCTACTTACAAGTGCTGCTTTGTACATTAGAGGAGACTTATCAATGATTCATTCATTAGGCAAAAACAATGATATATTGTTTCTTAACTTGTTTAATTTTGTTCATAGGTTGAGTCCGGAAACACAAGCATTGGACAACAAACCCTAGAAAGCCGTGGATTGAACTACGATGGCTACTTTTACTGGTTATCCGTCTCAGTTTTGTTCGGATTAACAGTGCTTTTCAATGTCATTTTTACTTTGGCTTTGACTTTCTTGAAGCGTAAGTTTACTTCAACTGCTGTTGGAAGGTCCTTTTTAAAAGCAAAATTATATATTTCGGGCTAATAGATACATTGATGAAGTTCAGCTCCAGGAAAGACTCGTGCTATAGTTTCGTTCGAGAGATACTCTCAACTTCAAGGACTTGAAGAAGATAACAAAGATGAAAGTATACAGAAAGAAAGCAAAATCTTCATTGAGTCTGAAAATATTGCAGTATCTACAGAAGGTGAGAACATTGATCCCTTTAACTTGAACATTCAAATGTGTTCCGAACGTAAAATTTTGTTCCCTACAGGCAAAATGGCTTTGCCATTCCAGCCCCTAACGGTCGCATTCCGGGACGTGAAGTACTATGTGAATGTCCCTGTGGTAACAATCATAATCCTACAGCTAGTTTCATTCATGTAGATGTAAATTCTTCATATACAGTTTTAACTCCAATGAAGTTGTCAATTCTTGTTTCAGGGTTTTAAGCACAAAAGGGTGCAGCTTCTGTCGGACATTACGGGAGCATTCCAGCCTGGCATTTTGACAGCATTGATGGGTGTCAGTGGAGCAGGTAAAACAACTCTTATGGATGTTCTTTCCGGAAGGAAAACCGGGGGTACCATCGAAGGAGAGATTAGAATTGGTGGGTACCTCAAGGTTCAAAATGCATTTGCCAGAGTATCAGGCTACTGTGAGCAAACTGATATACATTCTCCCCATCTCACCGTCGAGGAATCGCTGATGTATTCCGCTTGGTTGCGTCTTCCATCTTATATCGATTCGAAAACTAAAGATGTACGGCAGGCACCTTTCTTGGTCAATACGTTAGTTGAGATAATAGTTCTTCGTTATCATTTTCTTTTCTCTTTTTCTTTCCTGCAGAACTTCATAAATGAAGTACTTGAAACCATAGAGCTCGAAGAAATCAAAGATTCGATAGTAGGCATAGCTGGAGTCAATGGGTTGTCTACCGAGCAGCGTAAGAGGCTGACTATAGCTGTAGAGCTCGTTGCCAATCCATCCATCATGTTTATGGATGAACCAACTTCGGGTCTAGATGCAAAAGCAGCAGCAATTGTTATGAGAGCGGTGAAGAACGTAGTCGAAACCGGAAGAACCGTTGTTTGCACCATCCACCAACCTAGCATTCACATATTCGAGGCATTCGACGAGGTAGAAAAATATGATACACATTTTTTCCTGTGTTGAATCCAAAAGGGACCAAAAGAAAAGAGAAACCCCTCACTTTTGTCTTGCTCTCATGGCATGGCAGTTGATCTTAATGAAAACCGGAGGGAGCATTATCTACTCTGGACCGCTCGGTCAGCAGTCCAGTCGAGTTATTGAGTACTTTCAGGTCAGTTTACTTGTGGAATTATTATGAATAATATGATGGTTCGCAGTATTATGATCTCATACAGAAAAGTAGTTCTTTTGCAAGCATATTATCGTTAATTGTTTCTATGTAATGCTTTAGAACATCCCTGGAGTGCCGAAGATTAAAGACGATTATAATCCAGCGACATGGATGTTGGAAATTACTTCTCAATCTGCAGAGGCTCAAACTGACGTAGATTTTGCTGATATTTATAAGAGATCCTCTTTGTTTCGGTACGTACAAATACAACTACAAATCCTAGACGTAGGATAAAACTGTCTCAACTGCAGTAGCCAGATTTTCGGCCACCAGCTACACTTGTTTCATAGGCTAAAACTCTTTTTTCCATCTTACTATAACAGGGAAAATCTAGAGTTGGTTAAGCAATTGAGTTCACCTCCTCCTGATTCAAAAGAACTGCGGTTTCCGAATCGATTCCCTCAGAATGGTTGGGAGCAGTTCAAAGCATGCCTGTGGAAACAGCACTTGTCATATTGGAGAAGTCCTTCGTATAATTTGACACGTTTTTTTTCCTACTCTGTCTCGTGTGTTATCTTCGGCATACTGTTCTGGCAGCGAGGGGACAAAATGTCAGTAACGCCGAACACTATGAGCTTCAGAATGGGAAATCTTCAAAAGACTGATGTAACATCCCCTTTGATGTTGTTTTTACAGAGAAAACCAACAGGACCTGTTTAATGCACTTGGTGTGATGTATGCAGCCATATTCTTCTTCGGCATAAACAGTATCTCATCGGTTTTACCATTCGTTTCGATCCAGAGATCAGTTATGTACCGGGAAATGTTTGCAGGAATGTACACTCCGTGGGCGTACTCATTTGCACAGGTTTAAACTTCTCTAAAAAATTATCTGGTTTAAACTCAAACACCAATGAAATTGCCATAGTAGACAGACAATTATGGTACAAATTCCATTTTTGTTTTGCTAACGACTCCGGTTTCGAGTTTGCAGGTCATAATTGAGATCCCATACATGCTTACTTCGGCGCTTCTATACGTGATCGTCACATATCCGATGATTGGTTATTACTGGTCAGCCAATAAAGTATTGTGGTCATTTTACACCATATGGTGTTCAGTGCTATGCTTCACCTACTTAGGAATGATGATAGTTTCAATAACACCCAATGTTCAAGTGGCTTTCATTGTGAGCTCATTTGCTACCTCCACCATGAATTTGTTCTCCGGGTATTATCTTCCAGTACCGGTAAGTAAGCCATGACTATTCGCTGCATTCGACATGTTTAAACTTAAACCGGGAAATAAAATGAAAACCAATGGCCTCTTGCAGAAAATGCCGTGCTGGTGGGTCTGGCTATGCTACTTATCCCCCACGTCTTGGTTGCTGAATGCCATATTCATGTCGCAGTATGGAGATATTGATAAAGAAATACAGGCTTTAGGAGAAACCATGACGGTTTCAGCTTTCATAGAAGATTATTTTGGTTATCATCATAAGTATCTAGGTTCGGTTGCCGTTGTTCTCATCATCTTCCCCGTTGCATTGGCTTCTCTTTTCGCCTTTTTTACTGGAAAATTGAATTTCCAAAGGAGGTAGAGACAGATCTGTCTCTGTTGCTTATATATCTGTATAAATCACTCCCTGGTATACCAATAAAGAGAGGTTTTGCATATGAAAATCATCCAAATCAATATTCATTGTCCAAGTTTTGTATTACAATAACAAGGCATGTTGTAAATTCTAAGCAATTCCAATAAAAAGTACACATGTTGTCTTGTCATAATCCGTTTCAATACGAATTCTTTCTCGTAATCGGTATATCTACAATGTACTACTGACCGCGTGGACGATCACCTCAGCTTCCACTACACAGACATCCTTCACCAGGTAGCCAGTGCCGGTACGGTGGAAATGCACCAACGAGACGAATTTCGCCCACCCACTTTCCTGGCTTGACTCGCTAAACCAGTGATTAACTGCAACACAAACCAGAGTTTTAACTTGTGATTCTGGTATGATATTCTTGATGAAAATGATTGTTACTAAATCTTTTCGGCTTTTATACCTTTTCCGGCAATGTGTCTGCTCTGCAGCTGATCCTGGATACGCAAAGTGAACTCGGCAAATATCTTAGAACCATCCGTAAGAGTGGAAGAATCATCCAAAGCCAAATACAGGGAGATATGAGTGCCTGATACATGCTGTCTTTCTTTCGGATAAAGCTGTATTTTCCTGCATTTCCGGAATGTCATATAGCAGTAGACCCCGAAAATGTGCTATATTCGTATTCGTTTTAATGGATGTAATACCATTTCTGATCACCAGAAAAGAACACATTTGACTTTAAGTATTCTGAATCTAATTTGGAAAAGTTTTCAATCCTCCAGACATGCTTGCAACTAATGGCATCTTTTACCACTGACAAGCATTCGGCTCGTCCCGGTCTTGTTTCCTTGGTAACAAACACTTCAGCTCCGAACATGCAAGTATCGTCGAGTAGGTACCCGTTGGAAACATCGTTAAACGTTCGAATTGGGATGAGCTGATCAAATCCCCATTGATGCTTCAATCTGTGAAACCGCCTGTTGTTATCCTTGGCATCTATAGGCACCACATGACAATAACAAAATCAAATCCACAGCTTCTATACATTCATACATACATACATACATTCTAAAGTTGAAATGACAAAGAAAAGCTGCATGGAATTAAAATACCATGAACTAACAAGTACTCATCCTTGCTCTGATCAAGCAAGAAAAACCGGAAAACGGCATGGACCTCCAAACCCTGTCGGAAGAGTGAACCAACATCGGCGAAAACCAAGTAGAGAGAAAGGTGCTCTTTCACATTTCGGCTTCTGTTCCCATTCGGATACAGTATCAGTTTCCTGTGAGAGCACACGAAAAAAACGACAGGCTAAGCCTACCATATAAACATATATATGCCATAATTCAGCCATTAACAATCAAAAGTACCATTTGTAGCCACCAGCTTGGAACTCTGCAGATTCATATTTTTCTATGCCGTTCTTTGCAAGTAATGAAAATGACTGTATCTTTAGCATGTAATGACAAGGAGCTGCTTCTGATATAGATTTTTCAACTTCTGCAAATTTAATTCTACTTTCATCAACAACAACAACAATATATATACATATATATATATATATATGCAGAAAGATTAGAGAAACATATGTAAGGACAGATACCTTGTACGTTGTCGGATACGTGAGAAGCCATGGCCATGGGAACAAATTTTGGGTATGAAAGAAGTTTTAGACACAGCTTAATAGTATCAAACATGGTTAGCTATATATATATATATATATATATATATGTATGTATGTGTATGTATATGATATATAGTATACGCAGAGACAGAAAGTGATTCCAAACGTAAAAAGAGATTTTTTTGAGGATTCGATTCTTAATCCTTTGCTTATAGAGGATTGTTGTGATGAATGAACAAGCATCCCTTCTCTGCTTGTTGAATGAAATATGGTTTTCATGACGAAAGAATATACCATGTTTGCTGGCTCCGCAATACGTTATTCCTTGCCAAATGATGACATTAATTTTTGTTTGGGTTAAGTTTTTTTTTGAGATAATCACGAGTTTCAATTTATTGATTGACTAATCTAGATTAAGTACAACAAAAGTTCATTAGAGGCGATCATTTCAACTCAATTTTCTCCATTCACAATACCAAGATTCGGACTCAAACAAAAATTTAATACCTAAACTAAGTTTATAACACATTTCAATACCTAAACTCAATCAGATTCGATCTATTTTCTAATTTTATAAAATTTAATTTTCTTCTTTTAAAATTAGTATATCATTTTTTTCTTAAATTTTAATATGTATTGTAATTTAAATTCAAATCTATAATACTTTAATATAAATATTAAAAAATTTGTTATCTTAAACAAAATTAAAAATATAATTATTAAATACTAAATAAAAATAACATAATATATGTGAGTTTGGATAAAAAATTAACCAAATCTCAAATCTTATTCAAACTTGAACAATATGTATATATAATATTAGTGTAAATTACACCATCCATCATCAATTATCTTCTTATTCTTATTTTGATCACTAAAATTTAAAAAATTTCAATTTAATCAATCAATTTTCAAGTTTTAATCACTCTAATTTATTTTATTAATAACTTTTATATAATATGACATTTTTATTATTATTTTATTAATATATATGTCACATGGGATTAAATAAACAATATTAAAAATTCAAGCGCAGTTTAATCGTTATATTACATTTTTTACTCATTATTTCATTGTCTTTTGCCATCCCTTCTACGTTTTAATCAAAATTCAATGAATGAGAAATAATAACATCACTGCCCGACTCCTAGATTTTTAACTAGCATCTTCTATTTCCAAAAAAAATTATATAGACTTTCTTACCAACTGGCATTTGTAGCCAAAGGTTAGGATAATTGCCTTCAAGCAACTTTCATTTTCAACGTATTTTAATTTTTTATCAATTGATAGTTGACCTCCTGCAGGAGCTACAGATGTATGATTTCAATTAATGGAATACACTTAACACTAAGACTGATGACAAGGAAGTATCCAGTTTATCACACCATATGCAGTCGGATATCGACTCCTTCGGTCCTTCTCTTTCTCAGGAACAGCTATTTAGCATCGTACAGAAATATGATTTGCGAGTAATGTTCCGTGAAAGCATCGTTTGTTTTCATGAAATCGTGCTTATCCATGAATGCTTCTTATGTTTTAGGTTTTACTTGTTGAAAAATCTTTTGCACAACAAAGAGCTTTCTGATGCAGCTAAATGGGGCTGTATGTTTGCTGACATTGAAGTTGCTGCCGAGGTTTTGACGAGCAATGTTATTCGTTGTCGAGTTCCTTCTCATGCTCCTGTACGTGTTCCATTTTATATCAAATGCAGCAACAGATTGGCCGTTAAAAGTAGAGCACAAGAGGAAATACACTTGCTAGTTCGTTTGGAGCAATTGCATGCATATTGTCTCAGGAAGTGCAAATGATTGTATACAATCTAAAGAGGAATTGATTCTTTATTTGCTAAAGCAAAAGCTTTGTGAGTGGCTGATAAACAAAGTCCACGAAGAAGGCAAAGCTTTGTAGGATGAAAAATAACACATGCTCTGTTGAGAATTGCTCATTGAAAGGGTCTGTAGCTGCTGTTAGAAAATCAGCTCATGCAGCTGCTCTAATTCAAGCTGCTTTCCGGGCTCGCTCATTCCATTTCAGACAATCGACTAAAGGAAACGATGATATGTCCCAAGTATCACTTGAACTTGTTATTCTTGGGTCTTGGAATGTGTTTGTAAATTTTAGTACTTTGATAGTTATGTTTCCCTCGGTGTTAAAATGTTAATATTGTCTTGGATAACAGTAATTCTTCATACAAGTAGAGCAGAGGGGCAGTATTTTATAATCGATTGAAGTATTCCTCAGTGCACTGCTTTGGAGGACACAATAAAGGGTGTACTGATATGTGCAAAGGTGAAAGTGTTGTGTTTGGCGGACACTGCATTTCTTATATAAGAATGTTGAAGAGAGTGCATAAAGTATACTGTGGGCATGGTTTTGTAATGATGAAGATTCACTATTTGTAAGCTCAGCTTAATTGTCATGTTACATTTTTCACTCATTATTTCATTGTCTTTGTTATCCCTTTTACGTTTAATCAAAATTCAATGAATGAGACATAATACCATTATCATCATTGCCCGACTCCTAGTCATGATTATTTTTAACTAGAATCTTATAGATCCATAAGAAAATTATAGTAATTAGCATCAACTAGCGTTTGTAGTCCAACGGTTAGGATAATTGCCTTCCAAGCAATAGATCCGGGTTCGACTCCCGGCAATCGCATTTATTTTCAACGTGTATTTTATATTCTTACTATTCAGAATTTACCGAACTATTTTATTTAACACTGTAAGCGTAAGCAGTGCATATCCCCTGGGCCATTCAGTTGAATGAGGTATGTGTCAACAGGTTTTCTCGAAGTTCTTCTATGTAACTTTTTTACTTCCCTTTGCCACGCTATACAGACACTTGATCAACAATGGCGGAAACCCAAAGTGTTCTTAAGGTCTAAGAAATCCGCTTATGGATTGGGGTCCAAGACTCAATAAGCTATTGAAGCAAGTTAAGTCCATAAGAAATGCTCATTCATCGGTACCGTTTCCATCAGGGGATGTATCTTGCCAAGATGGTGACGACCATCGTTGTTCGTTTTATCAAACAATATCAAAGGTTCGAAAAGTTTCATCTTCATGAAAATATATGGACTCAAGTCTTCTGTTGTTCTCCTTTACGTTGTCCATGTCCATGCATGGCCATGTCTTCCTCATATAATGGAGAAGACATCGAGTATTTCATGTGTCTTCATGAAGACATCAAATGATCATAATATATGCACATACATGCAATAATAAAGAACTGGAAGCCGGATAAGAAAAAGGTTTTAAAATACACCGTTGGTTTCATGCTTTGACATTGTTTTGCTGTTTTCAAGTAATGTTTTCTAAGCTTGGAACATAATATTTGCACAGTTGTTGTTAACTTGATCATAACCCTGTTAAAAGTTTTTGGTAGTGAAATCTTGTTTGAATGAAACAGGAGGTGGTGAAGAAAGTGAATAAACCATATTCACCTGTTAGCGATAGCAATGCCGTTGAAATGAATCCAAAGGAAGTGAGTTCCACCGGGTCAGCAGCAACTAACCTGGGAATGACAAGTTATAGCATCCATTATGAATGCCCGAGTGCTACAAATTTTGATTTGCTTGTTTGGGTAGAGCTTGTAAATGACATCAATAGAGATATGGGATCATCATCCTGCTTGAATGGAAATGAAATACAAGTTTTTCCATAGAAAGCTTATGTTGGTAAATCTCATATATTATATAATCAAAATTCATGGGGTTCGCCACTTGAAATGCATGTATAAAACAATTTTTTGTTCTATTCTTTGGTAAATTGTCTTCTCCTGTTCAAAAGTATTTCTGGAAAATTTATATGAAACATTATCTTTAGATTAGAACTTAAATAGCGTTAAATATATGTTTAATAAAAAAATTAAGTGGTTAAACTATACCTTTGTTCGCTTTATGTGTCAAGTATTATTCACTCAATGTAGGTGTCTAAAGAGCAAAGGAGTATGTACCTAAATACATTTTGCATCACTTTGAAACCCTGATGTCACTGTCATATCACCTTTAGACAAACCAACCATCGCTCTCATTTAGATAGGCTGTTATTAGCAAGGAAGTTGTTGCTGACTAGAACAACCTTTTACACGATAATACAATGTCTTGGAGCATATGTGGGTTGCTGTCCTCAAGAGCTTCTAAAAGACCCAATATGAAAGGTGGGGTGCAATCATAAGGGGAGTTTCAGTTCCATTTCAGTTGGACTAGTAAGCATCAGCTTGTTGAGTTCTGGTCTCATGCTTCATCTCTTTCTTGGTAAGCAAGCTTTAGAAGACAGAGCTTAAGTTTTAACTCCTTGTATTTCCTTATTTGCTCATTAGCTTCCATTTTCACAGATTCTAGTTCATCAAAATTCTGTCAAAGCAGAAACAAAATGGTTAGTTCCACTTAAAACACCCTATATCTTCACACATGACAACTGTTTAGATACATAGCACAAATGAAGTGAAAAACAATCATCATTGTCTCAAAAAATTTACATTACCGAAAACCCTATAGTTAAGTTGCGAAAGGTAGATCAAATATCTTAGATATTCAACAAGAGACATGTTGAAACAACTAAGAAAATTTTGGTAGTGGATCCCAAAGCTTCTCAGCCAAACCAGGATTCAGTTTATAAACAATGTACCATTAAACCCTTCAAAGAAAATGAAACTCTAAAGAAAATTCCTGGAAAAGACGTTGGCCCCCATATGAGATAATTGTTTTTCCCATCAAAACTGACTTTATTTTGGGGATAAGGGGAAGGAATTGTACAGAGTTCAAATCCAAGACACAGTACCAAAACTTCACTTCAACAGAAATCTTTTGCCACTGCACCACATGCTCATCAAAACCGACAATTAACAACTCAAAATTTCTATCAATGCATATTGTACTCATGTCAAGACAGAACAAATGCACTACATACCATGTGCTACAATGTAACATCAGATGGTGGTCAGGAATCAGCATAACTAATGACTCTTTATTTTTGCATCTGCATTAACTGATTAAGAAGCCTTATTTTTAAACTACGAAGGGACATGGATGACTGCCTGTTATCTTGGAACTCATTAATATTTTTTTGTGTTATTGACTTGCCATCAAAACCAGTTAGTACTATTTCGCAGCTTAGCAGGAATAACTTTCAGCAAAAAGATGGAGGCCTGGAACAC